GGCCAGGGCCACCCCCCCAAACATGAGGGAGTTTCCCAAGCCACCATCCACAGGGCCACCCACCCTCAGAACTTCCGTCTTGTCCGGGTTCAGCCTCAGCCCGTTCTCCTGCATCCACTGCTGTACGGCCCCCAGGCTGATGTGTTTTCCCTACTTTCTTCCCCCATCCCTTTTGGATCTAGTTGGGTTTATTTTTCCAAAAAAGTTCTTTGCTCTGTACTTGCTGAGCCAATTTATAGAGACATGTACATTTATGAAAGCACATGCCAGCTGCATCTCCTAGTTGTTCTTTTTCATGAGCATCTCCAGACTTCAAGCTTTATTGAATCTCTGTTGCACAAGAATCTTGTGTTCGTTCTCTTCTGTTGGGAACTGTATTTATCCTAAGTACAAAATTAGTCAAACCCAAGTTTAATGGAGGATTTCACCACAGAAGCCATGTTTGGTGACTTTATTGAGTATGTTTTAGCACAAAACAAAAATAAAAATTGTGGAATCTCAAATATATTTATATCTATATATCTCTGTCTATATATCTCTATATCTATATATATCTCTATCTCTATCTCAATAGATAGATAGATAGATAGATAGATAGATAGATAGATAGATAGATAGATAGATTGATTGATTGATTGATTGATTGATTGATTGATTGATTGATTGATTGAACATAGCATAATCTTTTGTGGATGAGAAACCACTTTATTATATCCATAAACTATCTTTCTCGGTTGGCAGATACACAATGCATTCATGAGTGTGGAGCAGACTGGACAATCTCCAGAGGTCTGGGGAGTTATTCATGGCCACCTTTGGAACTTGGAGGGCTATTCTAACAACCCCCATCACAAAAACATTTTTCTTACAAGAACTGGTTATTTTAAAACTGGTAAAAAAAACATCACACTCTCTAGTAGCAATGAGTGAGTGAGTGAGTGAGTGAGTGAGTGAGTGAGTGAGTGAGAGAGTGAGTGAGTGAGTGAGTGAGTGAGTGAGTGAAATTAGATACAGTAGTTTGGAGTATATGGTAGTGAAGAATGCTGGGTGACACTTGAAACATGACAAAATTGCCCTTCATGCCCCAGAAGGGCATAAAGGCACTTTTTGAGCCCATAGTTATTTTAAAATATTTTGATGGTTCTATGGTGTGTTGGGTACATAGTATATTGAGGGCCTAATGCAGCCCGTGGGCCACATGTTGCCTACTCCAATGTAAAAGCATAGTTAACAGTGGAGGCAAATACTGTAGCTGTAAGCGTAGGATAAAGTGACCAGCAGTAACTGGTGAATCAAGGCTGGACAAAGGGAGAGAGAAATGATAAAGCAAGCATATCTCAACAGCCCAACAAGCCCAACATCAGCTAATTTGCCCCCTTTGTCTCTGTATCTTCTGAGCTTGTACTGGGCTAGTTAGTCACCTACATGTCCATCAGTATGCTACTGCTCCATCTTAACCATTCACTTCTTTGCCCCCTAAGTGGTGCCTCTGATGAGAAATGGTCTTCTTCAAAAATGAAAGATGAACTATAACTGCTTATCGTTCTTGTCGGGTTGAAAGAGGTTAATCAGGTTGATATAACATTGAGACTTTGTACTAATCCTTGAAAATATTCCAATGCTTTTTCTCCTACTGTTAACATATAATAAATCAGGAATAGACCACTGCACTGAGTCCAACCATGGGTGTGAGCAACTGTGCCTAAACACTGGAGAGTCCTATGTTTGCCAGTGTTCTGAAGGATTCATCATTAATGACGATCTGAAGACTTGTTCACGTAAGTCTCTTGTTTAAGTTATTGTGTAAATTAAACAACAACAACAACAAAAAGAGCCAAAATCTGTTGAGTTGTTGTGTGCTACTGAGTAATATCTGCAAATGGTCAAGGCTATAAGGTGCACTCTGCCGCAGTCATAGGTAAAGAAGACAGTTGGAGTATACTGGGCAAATGAAGAGAAATCAAATTTCACAGTCCCCAGTGTAAATTATTTAATTTTCAAATTAGTGCATTTCCATCCTATCTCTTTATCTGAATATAGAACTTGGGGTGATTAGTAGTTAGACAGATTAGAAGAAATTAAAAGAAATAAATTAAAAGAAATAAAAACACCACGACAATTTAAAGGTCCCATTAAAGACATATCCCTTGATACTTTCCTAAAAGCAACAAGAGCAACTCTGCAATGCACTCCCAGTTTGGGAAAAACATAGGAACCAGCCTTCTGCTGTTAGTCTATCAGGTGAGACTTTGTATGTAATGGTGTCAGTAAGTGGACTTCTCCTATAGATTTTAGCATACATCATGTATTGGGCTATCTTGTGGACTGGGGTGGGGTATCTTACCCCACATTTTAGGAGGGTGCATCCCCTGCCCTGGTGATAAGCCATCCGTGGTACATATAACACAATAGATGTCCTTTATATAGCCAGGACTCTATGAGTAAGTCAGGGGTTGAAAGGCTGAACCAAACAGCTTGAATTCAGCACAGAAAACAATTAGGAAGTAGGTCAGGTCTCTCCATATTGGAGTAATAGGATCTTTATTCTGGGCACTGGTTAGTAGCCTGCATGCCTTCTTTTACACCGGCCACTGTACCATACAATCTTCCCTGCTGGCGCCCACAACCAGTCTCATTGGTTGTGGGATGTATAATATGACTATTTCCACATCAGCAATTGCCAAGCTGTTATCTGGGATCAGCCATTATGCTGCTACTGATATTGGATAAAGACTACTACAAATATACTGTCTAATATACAATGTTCCTCCTGGTACATTTTAATCATTCATTACAACTCAGCAGCTGAGTTGCTAAAATTAACATATTCATCTGTAGCGGAATGGAAAAATTAAGCTTAATGTGGGTTTACTGTATATTCAGTTTAAGAGGCAGAATATTTTAGTGCTAGTTATTTGAATTGATCCCAACGTGTCTATCTGAATTCATACACAGCTGAAAAGCAACTGTCTTGCTATAATAGTTTTTATTAACCTACAAATGGAAATAGCTTTTTCCTGAGTAGTAGGAAAATGTTTATTTATTCTGTGTTTCATTTTCCTCCAAGCAGCACTTGCGATTTCCATGAAGAGCTCTAAATTTGTACATTTACTGCTAGACTTCTGTTTGTTAAGCTCTGATCTTATGGTTATTCCTCCTGGATTTTCCTTTAATGTGCCAACATGTTTCATTCATTATTGAGAAACAAGCCCTATTCAGCTTCAAGTTTCCTGCTGAGCTGCTTTAAAAAATCTCACCAGTTCTATTCTTTGACTGCCGTGAAAAGACACTTTGCATGCCATGCTAAGCCGTCGTTTAACAGTACATGCACTTCTTTTTGATAGTCCAAATTTAGCCCCAGTCTCGAGCCTTCCATTCTCTTATTCTAGCAAAGCTTTGAGAAGGATTAAAACATGATTCAGTAGCAATTTTTCTGATTTTTGGTTGTTGTTTTTATGAGCCAGGAATTGTGTTTGAAATCCACTTGTTAGGCAGTCAAGTAGACATTTTAAACCAATATTTCTGTTTCCAACCTATTTCCAAACAAACAAAGAGGTCAGTGAAACTCAATCATGGTTTCAGAACCCTTGAAATATTGCTTTTTAAGACTACAATTTCTAGAGTTTTACTCTGGAAAAGTAACTAATCCAAGCTCAAAGCTTTGCTCAGGCTTGCACAATGATGTTATGTTAAAATATTCTTTTGCATTATGTTCAAACTAAATTATAACTGTTTAAATCAACAGCAAAGAAACTGATAATTATTCTCTGCATTTAAAATAACATAAAATTTAATTCTCCGTATGGCATTAAATTACCCCTTTTTTCCTAAAGAAAATAGAAAGTGTTACACGAGGAAAAATAAGGTTTTTTATTTCCATTTTATGAATAACATACTTACACAAAGATGTCTAAATTATAATAACTATTTAGAAACTCTCTGTATTCTCATTAATATCCCTTCTCTTTTTTAGGACTATGAGCCCCTGTGGGTAGGGGTAGGTTAGAAGTAAGCCCTGTTCAACTGTTTGAATTGGTCTCATGTTACACGGAAGAATCATTTAATAGAATGTATGTCCTTCCCTCTCTAGGAGTGGATTATTGTTTGCTGAATGACCATGGCTGCGAACAATTATGTGTGAATAGGGAAACATCATACTCTTGCCAGTGCACTGAAGGATTTGTGTTACAAAGCGATGGGAAAACGTGTAAACGTAAGCTTAATTTTCCTTCTTAACTTGTGCATTGTATAACATAAATACTGTAAGTAATGTCAGCATTAGCTAGTACTGCAAGTAACTACATCTCTGCATCAAACTGAATTAAAAATTTTTAAATCTGTGTTAATAGAAATGAACTGACTGTTTTCAGGGAGAGATGTCTGTAACACTGTGGAGCATGGATGTGAGCAACTTTGCATCAATGCTGACAGTTCCTATGTTTGTAGCTGCTATGAAGGATTCCTACTGAGGGAGGATGGGAAAAGCTGCCGAAGTAAGTAAAGCCCTGAAGTAAGACTGCATAACAACACACCACCCTTAGCACATTTGATTTTGTCTGATTTCAGAACCTAAGTAGGATCAGGTCTGATTGTTACAGTGGTACCTTGACTTACCAACGTCCCTACCTATGAACATTTTGCCCTATGAACGGCTCCATTTGCAAAAGTTTGCATTGACTTGCGAATGGAGCCTGGACCTACGAACGAAAAAAGGCAGGGGAACAGGGCGGGAAATTCAAATTTCCCCTGCCTTTTTTTCACTCCATTCAAACCATTGGTGGCGAAGAGGCTGCTCTTTCGCCCCAATGGTTAGGCCTCTGATGGTGGCGGGGAAGCCCTGGGAGACCTCCTAGGTGGTCCGATCGCGCCCATGGAAAAGGGCGGGAAATTTAAAATTCCTCCCCTACTGCCACGATCGGACCCCGAGGAGGTCTCCAATGGTGGTGGGGAAGCCCTGGGAGACCTCCAGGGGGATCCCCCACCACCACGATCGGAGGCAGCGGTCACCCAGTGCCGGGAGGCTTGAGCTGGCCGGGCGCTTTGCCGCTCACCCCCAGCCATGGCGGAGGCAGTGGAGCGCCGGGAGGCTTCGGACATGTAAGTCCTTTTTAAAAAACTGTTCTGGGTGGTTTTGGAGGGTGGGTTTGGACTGGGGGGTTATGTTTCTCTGCTGTGTTGTGTTGTTTTGTTTTTGATATATACATACAGTCCTAGCGTGGGACTTGCTCTGTTGTATTTTGATTTTGATTTTTGGTATTATTATTATTTTTGAAATGCTGGAACGGATTAATCCTGTTCCCATGCATTTCAATGGAAAATGGAGCTTCAACCTATGAACTTTTCAACGTACGAATGCCATTCCAATACGGATTAAGTTCGTAAGTCGAGGTACCACTGTACTGGGGTGGGAGAAAAAATTTCCCTTCTGTTTTTTATGACTATAAGCCCCTGTGGGTAGGGATAGGTTAGAAGAAAGCCCTGTTCAACTGTTTGAATTGGTCTCATGTTACACGGAAGAATCATTTAATAGAATGTATGTCCTTCCCTCTCTAGGAGTGGATTATTGTTTGCTGAATGACCATGGCTGCGAACAATTATGTGTGAATAGGGAAACATCATACTCTTGCCAGTGCACCGAAGGATTTGTGTTACAAAGCGATGGGAAAACGTGTAAACGTAAGCTTAATTTTCCTTCTTAACTTGTGCATTGTATAACATAGGTACTGTAAGTCAGTGGTTCTTAACCTTTGTTACTCGGATGTTTTTGAACTGCAACTCCCAGAAACCCCAGCCAGCACAGTTGGTGGTGAAGGCTTCTGGGAGTTGCAGTCCAAAACTCCTGAGTAACCCAAGGTTAAGAACCAGTGCTGTAAGTAATGTCAACATTAGCTAGTTTTTATTGTGATTATCAATTGGCATTCAGGTTACGTACGTCTCTACCCACAGTGGATTTGAGGGAACAGGAGGTGGTGCTAGGTAGAGGAAGGAATGGTGGAGGGGGTAGAACATGCCCACGTAGGAGAAGAGTAGTTAGATGTCTTACATCTATCCCCTCTTCTTGTCCTACGACAAACCAGATGGTATCAGGTGACCATATCATCAAACCCTCAAGCCACATGGTGTTGTTGATGAACGCCAGGTCAGTACAAAATAAGACTGCCCTCTTCCATGATGTAATTCTGGATGAGGGTGCTGACCTGGCATGAATTTCTGAGACCTGGGTAGGAGAGGAGAAGGGTGTCCCCCCTCTCCCAGCTGTGTCCGCCTGGGTACTCACTCCAGCACCAATGTTGCTCGGAGGGTCGGGGAGGGGGAATTGCTATAGTCTATAGGAGTTCTGTCTGCTTGACCAGTCTTCCTATCCCTTTGAGAGGAGGTCTTGAGGGCCTGTATTGTGTGTTGGGCTTACAAGACGGATTGGGAATTCTGTTGGTGTACCGTCCACCCTGCTGTGTACCAGGTCTCCCTGCCTGAGCTCATGGAGGTAGTCTTGGACCTGGTGTTGAGGACTCCCAGGCTGTTGGTGCTGGGGGACCTCAACATCCATGCCAAGGCTGCCTTGACTGGGGTGGCTCAGGACGTCATGGCCACCATAACAACCATGGGGCTATCTTAATGTGAGGCCTGACACATGAGACGGGCCATACCTTGGACCTGGTTTTCTCAACAGGACTGGAAGATGGTGGTTTGCATGTGGAGGGACTGGTTGTGACCCCGTTGTCATGGTCAGACCACTTCCTGGTCAAGTTTAGTCTATTAGCTTCTTCTGCCCTCTGCAATGGTGGGGGATCTATTAAGATGATCCACCCTTGGACACTAATGGATCTGGATGGTTTCCTGAATGCTCTGGGGTAATTATCCATCTGATATTGTCAGCGCTGTGTCGAAACTCAGGTCGCCCTATAGAATAGGGAGATGACCCGGGTGGTTGACACGATTGCACCTAAGCGCCCTCTCTCTGCACGCAGAGCTCAGACAGCTCCTTGGTATACTTCTGAACTGCAGTCGACGAAGTGAGAGGGGAGACAGCTGGAGGGCAGGTGGAGGAAATCCCACTGGGAGTCCAATTGAACATGACTTAGAGCCCATTATTGGGCCTATTTTTTGGCAATATGGCTGGCGAAACAGCAATATTTCTCCAGCCGTATTGCTTCCTCAGAATGTTGTCCAGCAGAGCTGTTTTGGGTGGTTGTGATCAGGTTCTTCAAAAGCTGGTGACAGTTCCCTCATTTTGGCAGGAATAAGAGATGGAGGCGGTTTAAAAAAATCCAACAGGTTCAACTTTATTTACATCAACTTCGGGTTCAACTAGATCAAATGGATCAAAACAACTCAATTCGGGTAGAGTCTTGTAACTCAAGACCCTCGCTTCTGGTGTGAACAGGTCACTCCTCACATTGGGGCTGGACCAAAGCACTCACAACCTGTTATCACCCTCAAGGGGGTACTGCTTACCACGCATGCTGTCCCGCCACAGGGGTGTCTCGCCCATCCCCTTCTAGAGATGGATTGTTGAAAGAGGGACTAGGACAAATCACCTTCCTCACTCCACCTTGGTTTCGGAAATAGACCACCACCGTCCATTCTAGTGGTCTAGCCCCCTTGCCCTCCTGCCTTGGTATGCCTGGATCCGGGAGCAATCCTCCACCGGTCTTCAGGTTTGGAAAATCCTTTGACAAATCACAGAACTTATTAGAAGTAGCTTCATTCCCCTCTGTTTGAACCGTGCAATCCCCAGTATGTCTCTGCATCTGGTCTGTTTCCACTCTAAACACCCGTGCATCATTTCACTCTTTTATAACCTCCTCCCACACGATCAAATCTTGCACCTCCCCTTTACCCTCCTCCTTGTCTTCTGCCAGACATACTTCTAACATCTTCTCTCTCACTCCTTCTTCCTCTATCTCTTTAAGCACTCCTTCCACACATCCAAACATCCCCTCCTGTATATTTTTGTTTGAGGACGGCGCACTAGCCTCCTGTCCTTCACAGTGGTCCGGGATCTTCTTCAACTGGGAAATCCGGTGGAGGTCCCAGACTGCTCATCAGCTCATTCATTTTGAGGTAAAAATTGCTCAGATTCACAGTGGGTTGGACTCTACCGTTACTGCAGAATCAGAGGATGTGTCCAGTGTGTCATGCTCAGGTCAAGTATGAATGGATAAGTTCCAGTTGCTGAGACCTGAGGATGTGGACAGGGTGCTTGGATGTGTCCATTCTACCACCACTCCACTCGAACCTTGCCCATCTTCTTAGCTAATTGGAAGATCTGCCAGGGAGGTTCGCACCTGGGTCCAGGAGGCCATGAATGCCTCTTTGAGAGAGGGAGTGGTCCCTACGACCTTGAAAGTGGCGGTAATTCAGCCACTCCTCAAAAAGCCTAACCTGGACCCAAGGCTGGTGGTTAACTATCGACCAGTGGTGAACCTCCCTTATTTGGGCAAAGTGTTGGAGCGGGTTGTGGCTGGGCAACTCCAGGTGCTGCTGGATGAAATGGATTTTCTGGATCCACTTCAATTGGGTTTCAGGCCAGGCTTTGGTATGGAGACTGCCTTGGTTGGGAGAGACAGGGGAGTGTGACCCTGCTGATGCTCCTGGACCTCTCAGCGGCTTCGGACACCATCGACCATGGTGTCCTTCTGGATAGGCTGGCTGGGTTGGGAGTTGGAGGCACTGCTTTATGGTGGTTCTGCTCCTTCCTGGCTGACCATGTCCAGAGGGCGGTGCTGGGGGACACTTGCTCTGTCCTATGGCATTTATATCATGGAGTTCCTCAGGGCTTGATACTGTCCCCCATGCTGTTTAACATCTAGATGGAACCGCTGGGAGAGATCATCAGGAGGTTCGGGCTGAGGAGTCAGCATTATGCTGATGACAGTCAGCCCTACCTCTCATTTTCCACCAATCCAGGCGAGGTGGTTTCTGTGCTGAGCTCGTGTCTGTACCTGATAATGGACTGGTTGAGGGTTCCAGACAAGACAGAAGCGCTATTAGTAGGTGCTTCGCTGGACAGGCTGGAGGGCTATTTCCCTGCCCTGAATGGGGTTACACTCCCCCTAAGGGACAGGGTCCACAGCTTGGGAGTGCTTCTGGACCCCAATCTAACACTGGATGCCCAGATGGACTCGGTGGCAGGGGCGCCTTCCTTCACCTGCGGACATTATACCAGCTATGGCCCTACCTCGATGAGTGGAGTCTCATGACAGTTACACATGCACTGGTAACATCTCGTATAGATTATTGCAATACGCTCTATGTGGGGCTGCCTTTGGAGACAGTCCGGCAACTGCAACTGGTCCAGAATTGAGCTGCGCAGCTGCTGAGTGGTGGGGCCACTAGGGGACACATCAAGCCAATTCTGTTTAAATTACATTGGCTACCAGTTGTTACCCAGGCCAGATTCAAAGTGCTTGTTTTGACATATAAAGCCCTAAATGGCTTGGGCCCTGGATACCTGAAGGACCACCTACTTCCATATGAACCTACCCGGCAGGTAAGATCTAGCCAGGGAGCTCTTTTGAAAGAGCCGTCCCTCAAGGAGGTAAGAAGGATGGCTTGTAGAGAAAGGGCCTTTTCGGCAGCTGCCCCCAGACTATGGAACGCCATCTCAATTGAGATTTGTCTGGCGCCAATGCTGATGACATTTCAGCACCAGGTCAAAACCTTCCTGTTCTAGAAGGCATTTAACTGAAATAATATCAACTGTGGGTCCTGATGGCAATCTTTAGAGTATATATTTTAATTATATTTTAATTGTTTTATTTTTTTTACTGTATTTTAATTGTTGTAAGCCACTCAGAGACCTTTAGGTAGTGTGGATGGCATATAAGTTAAATAAATAATTATAATAATACTACTGCAAGTAACTACATCTCTGCATCAAACTGAATTTAAATATTTGAGATCTGTGTTAATAGAAATGAATTGGCTGTTTTCTGGGAGAGACGTCTGTAACACTGTGGAGCATGGATGTGAGCAACTTTGCATCAATGCTGACAGTTCCTATGTTTGTAGCTGCCATGAAGGATTCTTACTGAGGGAGGATGGGAAAAGCTGCCGAAGTAAGTAAAGCCCTGAAGTAAGACTGCATAACAACACACCACCCTTAGCACATTTGATTTTGTCTGATTTCAGAACCTAAGTAGGATCAGGTCTGATTGTTACAGTGGTACCTTGACTTACCAGCGTCCCTACCTATGAACATTTTGCCCTATGAACGGCTCCATTTGCAAAAGTTTGCATTGACTTGCGAATGGAGCCTGGACCTACGAACGAAAAAAGGCAGGGGAACAGGGCGGGAAATTCAAATTTCCCCTGCCTTTTTTTCACTCCATTCAAACCATTGGTGGCGAAGAGGCTGCTCTTTCGCCCCAATGGTTAGGCCTCTGATGGTGGCGGGGAAGCCCTGGGAGACCTCCTAGGTGGTCCGATCGCGCCCATGGAAAAGGGCGGGAAATTTAAAATTCCTCCCCTACCGCCGCGATCAGACCCTAAGGAGGTCTCCAATGGTGGTGGGGAAGCCCTGGGAGACCTCCAGGGGGATCCCCCACCACCACGATCGGAGGCAGCGGTCACCCAGTGCCGGGAGGCTTGAGCTGGCTGGGCACTTAGTCGCTTGCCCCCGGCCGTGGTGGAGGCAGCAGAATGCCGGGAGGCTTGAGCTGGCCGGGCGCTTTGCCGCTCACCCCCAGCCATGGCGGAGGCAGTGGAGCGCCAGGAGGCTTCGGACATGTAAGTCCTTTTTAAAAAACTGTTCTGGTTGGTTTTGGAGGGTGGGTTTGGACTGGGGGGTTATGTTTCTCTGCTGTGTTGTGTTGTTTTGTTTTTGATATATACATACAGTCCTAGCGTGGGACTTGCTCTGTTGTATTTTGATTTTGATTTTTGGTATTATTATTATTTTTGAAATGCTGGAACGGATTAATCCTGTTCCCATGCATTTCAATGGAAAATGGAGCTTCAACCTATGAACTTTTCAACGTACGAATGCCATTCCAATGCGGATTAAGTTCGTAAGTCGAGGTACCACTGTACTGGGGTGGGAGAAAAAATTTCCCTTCTGTTTTTTATGACTATAAGCCCCTGTGGGTAGGGATAGGTTAGAAGAAAGCCCTGTTCAACTGTTTGAATTGGTCTCATGTTACACGGAAGAATCATTTAATAGAATGTATGTCCTTCCCTCTCCAGGAGTGGACTATTGTTTGCTGAATGACCATGGCTGCGAACAATTATGTGTGAATAGGGAAACATCATACTCTTGCCAGTGCACCGAAGGATTTGTGTTACAAAGTGATGGGAAAACCTGTAAACGTAAGCTTAATTTTCCTTCTTAACTTGTGCATTGTATAACATAAATACTGTAAGTAATGTCAGCATTAGCTAGTTTTTATTGTGATTATCAATTGGCATTCAGGTTACGTACGTCTCTACCCACAGTGGATTTGAGGGAACAGGAGGTGGTGCTAGGTAGAGGAGAGAGACGTCTGTAACACTGTGGAGCATGGATGTGAGCAACTTTGCATCAATGCTGACAGTTCCTATGTTTGTAGCTGCCATGAAGGATTCCTACTGAGGGAGGATGGGAAAAGCTGCCGAAGTAAGTAAAGCCCTGAAGTCAGACTGTATAACAACACACCACCCTTAGCACACTTGATTTTGTCTGATTTCAGAACCTAAGTAGGAACAGGTCTGATTGGCACAGTGGGGAATTGAACTCCCAGCCTCTGGCTTAAGCCAAGATACTTAAACCATTTAAGTATCCAGACAGCTAGACAATGAATACTGCTCTGTTATTTGCCATGTAATTTCATTTTGACAACTGCATATACAGTATATGGTTTGTTATTTGAGCTTAATTTAATCTTTCCCATATTAGTTGGGGTTTTTTTTCATTGCAATTGTTTCACCTAGAAAAATGTATGAATTCTTTAAATTACCCTCAGGTAAAGACCTCTGTAACTCCATCAGTCATGGTTGTGAGCACCTGTGTGTTAACAGTGATTACTCCTACGTCTGCAAGTGCCATGAGGGATTTATATTAAAGGATGATGGGAAAACCTGCAGAAGTAAGCATTTTGATCTTCATCTTTTTTAAAAAAATGTAATCTGTTGCATCTGTTAAAATTTTTATACACATAACTGTTAACTCCATTCAGATCAAGATGTCTGCAAGTCCGTTAACCATGGATGTGAACATGTTTGTGTAAATACGGATGATTCATATACCTGCAGGTGCCATGATGAATTCATATTAATGGAAGATGGGAAAACATGTAGAAGTAAGTAACTTTCCTTCTTTTTAATTGCTTGTTTACTCTGAAAAGTGTGTTCTTTTTTAATGTTATTTTTATTTAACAACTATAATAGTTTTTTAAAAACACCTACAGAAAAATAACATACAAAATCTAATGTGCTCCCCTACTCAGAACATTTTGTGTTTGTAAACGTGCAGGGCTGGTTCAAGTGTAATACTAAATTGTATTTTAATGTTACATTAACAAGCTTGCTTAACACATGCTCAGACGCTCTCCCCTGCCATCATCTTCTCTCTTGCAGTATGCATAAGAGGAGACTGAAAACAACTGCATTTGTATTTTGTACATTTTTTATAGAATCAGTTCCATTTAATCTCATTTTACCTTGTTTCTCCGAAAATAAGACCTAACCTGAAAATAAGCCCTAGTATGATATTTCAGGATGCTCTACCCCAAAAATAAGCCCCTGTTAAGTGAACCCCTGCCCTCCACCACTGTGCAGCAATCAGAAGATGACATGACTGTATTTGAATAAATGTACATTGTTGTACATGGAAAAAAAATCCCCTGAAAATAAGCCCTAATATGTTTTTTAGCAAAAATTAATATAAGACCATGTCTTATTTTTGGGGAAACAGGGTATTGATGTTGCCTCATAAATTCATTAAAAAATTGACAGACACAGAAATGCTGATCAATTCTCATTTCATCTCCCTGACCTGCCATTTCAAGTAGGCCCTGTTCCACTGTTTGAATAGCTCTGAATTTACATGAATAACTTACTAGTATTTATATCCTTCCCTTCCCAGGAATGGACTATTGTTTGCTGAATGACCATGCTTGCGAACAGCTATGTGTGAATAGTGAAACATCATACTTTTGTCAGTGCACTGAAGGATATGTGTTACAAAGTGATGGGAAAACCTGTAAACGTAAGCTTAATTTTCCTTCTTAACTTGTGCATTGTATAACATAAATAAGCAATGTAAACATTACTATTACAAATAGCTACATTTCTGCATCAAACTGACAAATTATTCATGGGAAAATGCCATTTAGGTATTATTCTGAAGTATGGTGGTTAATGGAAATGGGTTTTTGGAAGATAGAATGGCAGGTTTTCTAGTATTCATGGTGATAATTAAAATGTTTTAAAATTTAACTATTATAAATGTGCATTAATAAAATGCATTGGCTGATTTCAGGTAGAGATGTCTATAAGACACACAAATGTAAGATATATATCAGATAGAAATATTTGCAATAGCAGTCCATCAACCTTTCTATTAGGAGAAGCACAGACCGCATCAGTGCATGGTTACTGCAGGTATTTGCTAAGCATTTGCTGCCATGTCTACCCTTTCTCCCCCGTTCCTCTCTCAGGTTGAAACTGAAGGGAGTATGCGCTGGTTTGAGGCTCAACAGATTTGCTAATTAAGTATGCTGCTTATTTTAACTACTTGATCTCCTACCATTCCTTTTACACGCCATACCAGTAGGCAGGGAGGGTCCAGATAAAATGATTTGCCATGTAGATTTTGACCACAATCAGTAGGTTACTCACCTTGGTCTAGATGGACAGGTAAGCTGTGGGAGGCCAGGGCAGGTGTTTGACTCCGGAATGCACCAGAAGATGCAACAATTCCTCCAAATGCAGAGGAGTAAAGAAAAGTTGGAAGTCGCCCAAAAGTCTGTGTTTTCACAAAGGAAAGGGTTTTAAAGTTTTTTAAAAGGCATGGGCCACCCCTGTGGCAGAATTACATCTAGGAGCTCCTGGACACTGTTCTTTTTGATGGATAAAACAATCTGACAGTGGCCCAGGATTGTAAAAACTGAATTGGGGCCTAGATGTGGCTTTTGGGCTGTCTCTCATCCCTTGTCAAGGGTTTCAGTCACTGACGATGGCGTTCTGGTGCTTGGTTGTGACTTGTGAGGCTCTGCAGTGTTAGGAATATGAGAAAGATCTTGGGCAGGAAGCGAGATGATTCCTTCTTTCCTACAGCCACCTTGTTTTGGCTGCTAAGATTAAAATATGTGAAACACTTCACCTGACTGCTTTTCAATCATCAGACTACTGGAACTTTTTTAAATAAAATTGACGCAGAATACTAAAAATGTGTTATGTTTCTAGGTAAAGACCCTTGCAAGTACACTGAGCATGGTTGTGAGCACATTTGTATAAATAATAACTCCTCATTCATCTGCAAGTGTCATGAAGGATTCATACTGGAAGACAATGGGAAGATGTGCAGACGTAAGGCACTTTTCTTTCTTTCTTTCTTTCTTTCTTTCTTTCTTTCTTTCTGCAAAATGTAAAAGTGCTGCAAAGCCTCAGGGAGCCATAGTGAAAGGATGATAAGGGTATTTATAATACACAGAATATTGTCAGAGACAATATAGAAGTATAATATGACTTGAACAAAAATATCCTGATGTGTTTTGAGTACACCATGAAAAACAGTTGCGTTTTGTACATACCTATAATTCTTTCTCAGCACTAGATGTAAGGTTGTTGCAGCTCCTAAAACTTCCATATTATTAAAAGTCTGGACACTCCCTGCTCCAGGCTTACTCTGTTTCATATATTCCTCTGTCCTTTGCGCCGTTAAAAATTCTCATAATGGTGCACAAATGCCCCTGTCATATTAGAGATGGTGCTTTGTTTGGCTGACTGGAACAGACTGTGGGGGCCATTGATCAAATGCACTTGATTGTCCTGGAAAATGAAATGAAATATTTCTCTGGATAATATGTCTTACACAAACTTTTCAACATGGCAAGATAAGCTGCAGGAGTATGTTTGTATACATCCATAATTACTTATCTGTTCTTCAACATCAACATTAATCATTTCAACACTCAGAAGATGCTTTTCTTAAAAAAAAAAAACCTGGTCCCTGGACTCACTTGTAAGTAATTTCACACATGTAGTTAGGCTCTAATTATGTAATTAGGTTCAGTCTGCATAATTATGTGTATTAAGAACAAACTCTTTTATGTTTATTAGGCACATTTAGAGTGTAAATTTTGTACCAGTCAATAAGCTGGTTTCTGTATTAAAGACAGGTGTTACATATGTTAACTATTTGTGATCCAAATGTCAGAGAGAATCCATTAAATCTATAGAGCTATGCATAAACAGATAGTCCCATCTTGTCAGTTAGACACACACACACACACACAAACAGAGAGAGAGAGAGAGAGAGAATGTGAACCCTAGTCCACTTCAGGTTGAAGCATTCTTCAGAAAAAGAATGGAATTATCTGTAGATCATGCCCTAGCACAGTGTTGTCAAGGTTTGAAAATGTGCATTTATAGAGTGTATAATTATGGGAGGTATAGTAAAAGCAATCCTAAACATGTACATTGTGTTTTTAAAATGAGGTCTGAGCAGCAGTTTACTAAAAGGCACTGTGAATAAATCAACCAGTTCTCCATCAAAGTCTGAAAGCAAGGTCAGTATAAAATAACATTGCCTTGCAAAAGAACTTTCATACCTATCACTTGAGCGTGGAGGATAAGATAAGAAAGGGTAAGGAAATACAAAACAATTGAGGAAAAAACCTCTTAGAATAAAAAAAATGTGGATAGAGTAAACTGGGACCTGACCAACTTAGTTCACCAACACTTTATGCTCATGGCAATGTTCCCTCTAAGGTACAAGCAGGTGCTCAGAGCTTCATTGGTGCCATGCAGCAGCAGTGCCTACTTCTGGTTTTTGGATGAAATCACCCCCCGTGCACAGATGCAAGGCTCTTGCGCAGTGGGGATGAAAATTAGAGGGAACATTGGTTCATGGTGGTTTTGACTATCCAGTAAAGCAGTACCCTAGTAAATTATTATGAGATCAGTTAGCTATTCCCACAGATGCAGTGATGCCGTTAGTTAAAATCAAGGATGTTATCTGCCACAGTAACAACTTGCTAATCTCATGATTTATGGGAACTGTATTTTGCTACCTTAGTAAAATCAATTGAAATTTCCATTAAAGATTTTCTGACTGTTTATAGAGATCAGTAATTTATTACACTGGCAAAATCCACTTGTTTACAGCTGAAGGGGAAATGTAAACAACTAAGAAAAATATAAATATAGGGAAGCAAAAGACACATAACACATAGATGCAACAAACATGCCACATACACCAGATGCTAACAATGTTGATACTAGGCACCAGTCATCAAAGAGTAGCAATATGTGCCAGCACAGCTCACAGCAGCATCTCAGAACAGATGAGGACATCCTGCATAGATTCAAACTGGTTTGGCTGGGTGGACACTTAAAACATTTTTTCAAATGTGTCTAGTCTTATGCTTAAATGCTAAAGATTGCTCAAATAATGCTTTTTGCTTTTTAATTATGTATTTTAGAGATGTATTCTCTGCTTTTGATTATGCATTTTTAGAATGTAATTAAGACATTTTTTGGCATTTTATTTTATCTTTCATGTTCCTGCATTTTGAAATGAAATATATTTTTCTGATTTAGGTATTTGCCTGCAACTTAAGTTTAGTCTCATATTCTTTTATGCATTTTTCCCTGAAGTTCTTTTCATAGCTGTAAGAATCTATTTGATTCAGTCTGAATTGTTAATTTTTGAATTTCATTTTATGCACACGGAACATAGAAGCAGTACAGATGAATAAAGCTTGTAGAAATAGACAAGCTGATGTTGCCTAGAATCACTGCAACAATGAAAATACTTATTGATTGATACCCAGGTCAATGTTGATATGATTGGAAACAGCTATCTGGTTCACACTGGAATTAACTATTTTCAGGGATAAATGCCAGCTGTGATGAACACAGGTTTCTGACTTCTTAGAGATCTATAAAAGTCTATAGAACTCTCAGAAAGTTGTTCAGGCATGAGAGTTTCTGATCTGAAAATTTCCTCTCATGGAATTCCATATGTGAACTGGGGTCCCATAAACATCGACCCTTTCATACATGCTAAAGGCATCAGATTTGGGGACAATGATTTTACCGTCCATTTTAATACAAGGCAGAAATGCTGTTGCTTAACATAAGAAGTTGCACAAGAGCAACTTTTTAAATTAATTAATTCATTCAATTTATATACTGCCCATCTGGCTACTAAGGACACTGTGGGATGTTTTCTAGTTTCTCAGTTATGAACAAAAACATAAGTGATTCCTGGTATGTATTTGATATGGCATTTCCAGAATATAACAGGAAGCCTCCAGGTTGCACAACAAGTTTATGTCGCTTTGCTGTTGCTCTTATGTTCTTCCTTTTTCCTTTTGCATTTTTAATTTTATTTTTAACAGGGTGCACTGAAGGCCCAGTTGATCTGATGTTTGTGATAGATGGCTCAAAAAGTCTGGGAGAAAATAACTTTGAAATTGTCAAGGAATTTGTCTTAGGAATCTTGGATTCTCTTTCCATATCACCTAAAGCTGCAAGAGTTGGTTTATTGCAATATTCTACTCAGGTTCGCACAGAATTTACACTGAAACAATTCAGTACAGCCAAAGACATGAAGAAAGCTGTGTCCCAAATGAAATATATGGGAAAAGGCTCCATGACTGGACTTGCCCTGAAGCAAATGGCTGAGAGAAGCTTCACTGAAGTAGAAGGGGCCAGACATTTCTCAGCAAAAGTGCCCAGGGTGTCTGTGGTGTTTACAGATGGACGGTCCCAAGATGAAGTTTCTGAATGGGCTACTAAAGCAAAGAAACGTGGTATGGTGCAAGTTTTCTTAGAATTATACATTTTAAAGACATTGGGTAAAGTCTTGGTTATTAATATGTGTATACATAGGTTCTGATCAAGAGCTTTCTGTATTTTTCCACTACATCTGTGATGTCATCAAGACACTCACACACAAAAGAGTTTAAGATGCAAAATTTTAATGCGATTTGAACAAAAAAAGACCTGATGTAATTTGAATGCACACAGTTTCCTTCAGCACATGGGCTAACCTTTAAAAAATCTTTCTGGCTAATATATTATTATAATATATAAAACTCAATGAAGACACAAGGGACATATTAAAATTCAAACAAAAAATCGAGACAAAATTTCAATTAGTTTATTTCAGTTTATTTCAAGCTTCATTTTAGAACAGATTTGCCACAAGGTCAGTTACATTAGACATAAAATACAAGGTAAAAATAATAGAATACAATATAACAGTAAAATTAAAATGACAATGTAAAACAGCAGTATAAAGTAGTAACTGGCTAGCAGCACATCATTATATCTCAGATTAAACTGTTCAAAATATTTAGACCCATCTGCACTGTAAGGACCATCAAGATTTTTATTTTTTGTAAGTCATATTTAATGCCCAATTAAGCTGCAATCCTATGGTCTTTGGGCAGCGTCCCTGGACTGTGGGATAGATGTATTATCACTTCAAGGGTTGACAGGGAGGGCAATCCTCAGAGGAAGTGATCTGACCGTAGATCGCAAGTCCCAACTCCAGCAGAAACCTCCATAAATCTTTTCTGACTTTTTTGAACCCCTCCACACTCAGCATTTGTTCAGTTTTCATTGCATCTGTTATTCAAAGTGGGACATTAAATCGCTTGCTTTCTGGGTTTTCTTACACCACACTTTCTGGCGGTGTATTTTTGATCCACTTTGCTTTGCTTCTATCTGGGATCTGTTTGTGTGGACTCTTAACACTGCATTGTTCCATGCTGATACATGCATTTTGTGGGTGTGAGTCATTTGATGAGGTATCCTTATGAGCATTTTCCTACTGGTCAGTCTCAATACCATGTGGACACATAAAACAAGGAGGGAGGTGGGGGGAGAGTGGTGTAGACAGGAAGATGGCAGAAGAGAACAGCATAAAGAGAGAATAATTTGTCTTGGGAGTGAGATGTCAGGGATAAATGCTAGATGTAGGTGACCAAACAGTACAGGAATGACTGAGTGCATCCTACTGCATCCAGCAACAAATCCCCTCCCCATGTGCGGATGCAAATGCTGGGATGATCGATCCCAATTTTCAACAACAACAAGCAAGAACAAGCAGAGATAGCACCAGTGTGTGGAAACTCATTTCAGAGAAGACAGAGAGGAGGAAAGGAGGCATGTTAGGGTGGGGAGTTGGAGTGATCCAGTAGACATTGTAGGTATGAAGGCTCCATAGCTCTCCTTGTATCCAAAGATAGACCCAAACCGAATGGTAATCTATGCCAGCCCAGCATCTGGGGTAAGTTAACTCACTCCCATTGCTTGCAGCTGCTAAACAGCTGTGGGGAGGGGAAACGAATGGAAATGCTTCTCCTCCATCATTTGTACCATATAAATATTGGCTGGGTGTAGCTCCATGAACAAGGGAAATGAGCCTTTCCTTAAGATGTCATCAGATTTTGGGTTGTCCCCAGAGTCCCTTCCATGAATTTTGCAGAGCTCCTACAAAAGCTACCATTGGAGGAATTGGGAGACAGCTTTCTCTTTTCTTGTTCTTCTGCCAGCCCACCATGCCACATGCCTCTGTGGTCTTAAGGATGTTCCTACCCTCTAGAACAGTCATTGCAAGGGAAAGATGAATGTGTGAAGATTGTTTTGCCCTCCTTTCCCCCCTCCCCAAAGGGCTCTTCCGTCAGGAAAATTCAGTTCATAGGACATCTGGATCCAAGTCTTGTTGTTTTTACTGCTGCAAGCTAAAATAGCCACCCCTCTGGAATATGAATAAAGGAACTCTAAACTTGTACCCCAAGTAATTTAGAAGCAGTATAGGAAAGTTGTAAAGGCATCGTTTATTTTATGACAATAACAAAAGCCTTATTCCCTTGGCTGTCTGCACTGATATTCAAACACTGTTAAGATTTTCCGTAGGCTTTTAAGTTGTACTGTAACACTATCTGCATTGCAATAGTGCATCTGTACATGGCCGACCCTACAAGAAGGCAGTGTTAAAGCACTTCTGCGTATATCCAGAAGACTCTGAAAAGGGTCGCTGTAAGTTAGAATTAAGTTGATGGCATGTAATGTTTATTATTAAGTACAGATACAACCCCTCTGCTTCTCAGGCACTGAAAATACGAAGGCAGGCATATTTTGGTACACCAAGAGTGCTTGGGATCTGTGTGGAACTGAGGTTCAAGGTTCATATAAAGATGCCATTCTCAATTGATGTGATCTGGAGTCGGTTTCTAATCTCCCACCTATTTTGCAGACCCCACCCACTTTGGCATTAGCTCCTCCCACTTTGTGTCTAGGTTCACCTATTTTTCAAACTCCATCCACTGCTGCAATGTGGACTCTGACAGGTTTTGAAGGAATTAATGTAGAGCCCATCTGGAAAAGCACTGTACTTTACTGATGCTATCAAAATTGAAAGGCGTCAAATATGCATGCATGTATGTTTAAATCTTCCAATGGCCTATTTTCTACATAAACACTAAATCATAGTTTCCCTAGGGACTTGTGATAAACTTAAGCTCTATCTAGTATTTTATAATTTAAATAAATCAGAATACTCAGAAATTAGATTAAATTAAATAGTTAATTTAAAGTGAAAGCAAATGTTTCTCATCTTGGAACCACACCAGGAAAGGAAAGAAGAGGGGTAAGGGACAAGAGATGCACTATTGTAATGCAGATAGTTATACTCAACTTAAAAGCCTACCGAAAATTCAAGACTTGCCAATGACTCTTTTTAAAGTGCTAACCGACAGGTTTTAATTTTATTGTATTTTATGTTATTTCTGCCCTACTTTTCTCCCAGTGCAGGAACCAAGGCATCTAACAACATGGATTAAAACAGCACTGAATTAAAACAATATAAAACAATTTAAAGCCGTAAGAGAAGTGCACTTATACTTGAACAAAGATGTCCTGATGCATTCTGAGTGCACACTGTAGTCATTAGAATATAGAAAAACCTTTAAAAATATTTATGGCTAAAATGTTTTATAGCATATAAAGCTGAATGAATCTTGCCTATGTACACAAATGACATGTTAAAATTCAACCTCAAAACCCACAAACAGTTTAGCATTATGATGTGGTGAAAGATATGACAGTTATTTTCTTCTCTGCCTGTTCTCTCCCCCATTTCTTTTCATCCATAACGCTGCTAATATATCTAGAGCCCCGATCAGTTGTAACAAATTGGAGAAGAGTTGTGGAAATAGGCAGAAGCCACAGGTGGGATTGCATAAGCAGTTTTAAATATATATACCTGTCCTTAGGCCTTCACTCTTGGACTTCTCCCTGAAACGTATGAGCTGCATCTCTTCTGCCAGGACTAGATAAATGTTATATATTGGTAGTAAAAGTCCTGTGGTGAGTTATTGTCTGTGGCTGAGGAGATATTTATTATCCAGACCTCAATATACACCCAAAGGCATACAATGAACCCATTAATCAAACACAGCATATTTATACTTCTTTCTCCATTGATAAATATGCCAAATATTCTGTTAAAGTGAGGCCTATGAATCAGTGCAGTCCTAGAACAGCCAGTAGAATTATGCTCCACATGACTCTTGATCAGGAATGTTTATGATCTGGATTGTTTATAGCTGATAGGTAACAATTTAAAAAACAGACCCCTGCTTGGATTGTTCATTCATGAAAAGCAAGTATTTGGGATGAGCGTTAAGATTTTCCTTCTGGCTACTACAAGACTGTCTGGGAAATATTAATTATTAATGTAATTATTACTAAAAATGTGAAAGTCTTACATGGCTGTTTTCCTGAAACAGAAGCAATATAGCAAAAGATTGAAGACATATATGCTATTGTTGAATACACTCTTCTCCAAGGTTTTCATGGAAAGAAATTGACAACAGCAGCTGGTAATATATGAAGACTTGTTTAGCAAGTCATCCCTTTAATGAATGACTTTGGATCTACTGTTTTCAAAATATACTATAGAGGATGTGATTGGATTAATTAAACACAAGGAATAACTTACTTTTTGCTTTTTTTAAAGTATATGTGATAAACAAACTTTTCTTAATATTTTTAGTTACGGGACAATTTGGACAAAAAGTGTTGTATATTTATTTATGCTTCTATTGGTTTGTATCTATAACATATGTTAGTCCTCATGTTTTTGTGTTCATAGCCAGTGGATTTTGTAAGATTTTATAGGTATAAACATGACACTAAAATAAGTCCCAAGAAAATTAAAATGTGCAAATGAAAATCCTTTATATTGGCCTTCAAACAAGATGGGATTTTGCTTTGTTATAGACGTCAAGAAAAAACAGCAGCTCACATGTAGTTGTGCATCACATTATTTTCTATCCCTTAGTCACAGAAAATAATATCAGATTATTTTCAGCAGAATGTCTAAACTGTGAGTCTAACTACATGTTGTATAGGAACATAGATTTTATTGGCACTGAAGTACAACTGACCTCCTTTGAATCAAAGTCATAGCTCAACCCTATCTCAACACGCTTTTTTCTAGTAGATGCCATGTCACCATGGTAGAATTAAGATTGAATGGATGAATAATGATATTCTCTTTGCAATGTTAATTCTGTTAAATGAATCAATACCGATATCCTTTCCCAGTCATGCAAAATCATCTTGCATTGATGTAAGAGATCAGATAATAATACTAAAGCGTATTCTTTTCTATGAATGTTGTTAATGTTAATGATGTTAAATGTTATTATGTTATTATTGCCTAAAATTAAAAATAAGCCATTTCTTTCTCAGGAATCACCATGTATGCTATTGGAATAGGGAATGCTATTGAGGAAGAATTACGAGAAATTGCTTCTGACCCTCCGGACAAACATCTCTTCTATGCTGAGAATTTCAGTGCCATGGGAGAGATTACTGAAAAGCTCCAGAAAAGGATCTGTGAAGGTATTAAATATCATATATTATTCTGACTACAACAGACAGAATGAACTGTTAAGGCAGGCAGAATTTGGAACCTGATGGAAGCAGTCTGAACATTTGTTCTGAACATCTGCAAAACGACAGGGATACGTGTAAAACTTGCAGAGTAACATGCTGCCAGGAATAGTAATATTTTTGCTATTTTTCACTGGGGGAATATATGACTTTATTCTAAGGCCAGGAATATATACAATCATTTGTATTACTTCTGCCAGTTTAACAAATCATGTATGAAATATACAGCTAGAATCCCCAAGAGAAATGGTAACACCCTACCCTTCCTGTACACTGCAGTAAGATCATCTGTACTCCTGAAAAACACCAATAACCATTCCTTCAGAACATTGGGTGGAACTTCAGTAATGTACAAAAAAGAGGAAAGAACACTTTAGAATGAACTTTGATGGATTATTATCCCCTTCATTAGATGCATCTGAAAAGGCACATGAGCATCACCTTCATTATGCATCTGAATATGTGGGTTGTAATCCACACTCTAGAGAACAGAGTTCGAATCCCCACTTGGCCATAGAAACTCACTGGGGATGTGGAACTAGTAAAATCACTCCTTAAACATTTCACTTACCTTGAAAGCCCTATTAGAGCAGCTAAAAGTCAGTTCTGACTTGACAGCACAGAACACACACACATGAAAGCTTGTGCTAAAATATCTTTTTACTACTAATTTGTTAGTGGCAGAAGATGCTTTTAAAGAGTAAAAATATTGCCGAATCTTTACTCTTTAGACCAGTGGTGTCCAACCTTGGCCCAAAGAGTAAAAATATTGCCGAATCATTACTCTTTAGACCAAATTTTATTTCGTCCAGAGCTTTCCTTCCCAAGAAAGTGTACACAGATACAACACAGAAAGATTAAGCAACTGAAACTGCTTTTTTTGGAGGGCCATAAGCTCCTCTGTCCAGTATTGGGCCTCTTGCTTGCCCTTCTAACAAAGGAAAGATGGAGTCCTGCAGATGTTGGACTACAATTTAAGGAAATACTGCCGTTTTGCCATTTGGTGATTGAGAAAATGAAGGAGTCCTTTATTCACAAGTTAAGTAGCAACCCCAAATTTCTACAAGGGCTTGGAAGTGGTTGTCATTCAAATGGTGGCATACATAAATAGAGAAGGTTTGTGAGTGTCACAACCTCAGCCTGCTCTTCCTGTTAACTTTTCAGATATTTTCTCATGCAACTGTTCCAATATACATTGATTCTTCACCCCTGCTCCAAGTACAACAGTTGCTTCAGATAACTCTTTGTTACAAACTTCATGATACTTCCCAGTTTCTGAGGTCATAGGAGTTTTCCTGCCAAATCCGTGAGCTCTCAGCATAAATGTGCATCTAATTCAAGGATGACTGGAAATGACATAGCTAAGCCTGTGAAGTAAAAAAACTGAAACTGTTCTGTTTAATTTCATTTCACTGTCAAACAATATTTCTAGGCCATTTTTAATTATAAAGTCACATCTAGTATCCATCTAGCTTGTGATTTTGTTACTGATTTCTTAATAAATGCTGGCTGGCTTCATTCTGCCTGTATTTCTTTTTGACAATACAGTATTTCTTCCAGGTCTGAAGGACCACCAGAACTTTCCAGAAAACCTGTTTCATTCAGCAGATTCATATTCTGAAGGTTTGAGATTCTGTCTTTGTATATTATGTTCCCATGTCAGCAAGCTCTTCAGTAAGCACTTTCCACACTCTAGCTGAAATCTAGTAGTAAGTTACAACTAGAGTAGTCCTATGGAATCAATGAAACTTACAAAGCAGCTGACATTCAATAGACCTATCCTAGTTCTGACTTAATACTATCCCCTGTCCCAGGTGCACCTAATGCAGGTCTGGCCCCAGGACCAGCCCATCCACTCATGCATCCCGGCACCACGAAGATCCCACTCTTCCTGCCAATTGCAGCAGTAGCGGGGGCAGGGGGCGGGAGGATGAGTCTCCATATATTTAGAAGACTCATCCTCCCACCTCCTGCCTAGATTCCAGCCTGTCTATTCCAAAATAAGTTACACTGGGTCACTGTCACTGGAAATATGTTTATGAGATGAATGCAACAGTGACTTAAATTGAACACTGTGCCAGCTCACATCATAGAATTATAGAATAATGGAGGCTTAAAAAAATGTGGAGAGCCACAATTGTCCATCTCTCCTTAGCAGAATGAGATATTTTCCCCACTTCAGTCTTCTACACTAAGCAAGGATCTACTCTGGAAAGTTTTCCAGTACTTTGGAGCAGGCTTTAACACGAGTGTTGTAAGTGAAAGGGGGAAAATCACACACACACACACACACACACACACACACACACACACACAGTTCCACTGATAGTAGTTCTGTCAGCAGAATGCCCCTGCTAAGTATAAATTTACACAAAGCACACACAGAACAGCTGTAACACTTCATAATAAAATCACTATGTAAACATGTTGTAAAAGTTGTCTGTTACAGTGGGGTCTTGACTTGAGAACTTAATCCGTATTGGAAGGTGGTTCTCAAGTCAAAAAGTTCTCAGGTCAAATCTGCATTTCCCATAGGAATGCACTGAGAACCATTTGATCCGTATCTGCTCTTTTCCGTCCATAGAAACTAATGGGGAGCTGCTATTCCGCCTACGACCACTAGAGGGGGATATTTTGTTTCTTTTTTTCTTAGGTCAAGAAAGGTTCAGGGAAGGCAGGGAAAATACAGTCCAGGCAGTACAGTACCAGGCAGTCCGAAGACTGTCTCCCAATCCACTCTCTAAACGCTGGGAGGAGTGAGGAAGCAGACAGGCACCCTTTTCACTGGCCAACAGTTAACTGAAAGTTCA